AATGAACACGTAAAAATATAAAATAATTTCTACGACTGTTGAAAAAACAAATGTTAGATATATTTAAGAATGGATGGAGTATCTATTTGATTACAAAAGTTAAAATTAGAAAAATAGTCCAGAAAAAGGGGGAGTTAGTACGACTGGGCCCAGATTGTGTGCCCATGTCCCGGTTCTAACCTGGATTTTACCACTTGGTAGTTTTGCCATTGTTTGCTTAGCTTCTTATGAAGGCGTTTGTGACTGATATTTAAATTCTAACACTATGTTTGGTTCAAGGAATTTGAAAAGGAAAAGAAAAGAAAATGAAGTGGAAAACCATTTTTCTTGTTTGGTTAGAGGGGACAACAACAACAACAACAACCAAGTTAAATCTCACAAGAGTAGGGTCTGGGGAGGGTGTGTGTACGCAGACCTTGCCCCTACTCGAAAGTAGAGAGGCTGTTTCCAAAGAGACCCCCGGCTCAACGTCGAAAGTTGCATTGTTTGACTAACTGCTACTCCCTCCGTCCTAAAACTTTCTTCCCGGTTCGCAAAACGAAGAAAATTCCCAAGTTTTTTCAATCTATTTTATTTAAATATTAGTATAGAAATAAAAAATAAAACATACATATTTAAAACCTACATCAAAAGTTCAACAAAACAAGTGGTGACAAGAATATTTTATTTTATCATATAGGCCATGAAAAAACACAAATAAATATAAATTCCCGTGAAGTTGGAATAGTGCTCTGGGAAGAAAGTTTTAGGACGGAGGGAGTACTTCATTAATTAAAGAAGCGCAGATAGTTTAGAGATCCATTTTGATTTATTCCATCACACCCCAAAGCCAAAAATGGTGAAATTTTGGCTCCATCGGAGATAATGGAAAATTTGGTTAGAGGGGAAAAGAAAGGAAAAGAAAATGAGGAGGCAAAATGTACCAAGTGGAGGAAAAACCAAATTCCTTCCATTTTGGTGAGAAAAATGAGAGAAAACCAATTTCTTTTCTTTTCCTTCCAAAATCCTTGAGCCAAACATAGTGTAAAAGAATCTTTTGTGTCATTTTTTATCCAACTCTTTATAAAGTGCATATTTTCCTCTCAAACTTTTAAATTTGCACAATTAGTCCATATACTTTTTATAAACTGCGTGTTATACCTCCTTACCCTCTTCATCAAGTACATAGTCCCCCCCCCCAAACTTTCAAAAATGAGCTATTAGTCTCTATACTTTTCAAATTTTCATAAAAGGCATGTTTTTTCTTGAAAATTTAAAAGTGCGCCACTAGTCCTATATTTTAAAAATGATGCATGGTTAAAACCTGAATTAAAAAAAAGTAACTTAAAGGACATAATTGCTAATTGTTTTTTTGTCATCAAAGTCTTCTCGAGCCTTTCATAAATTTGTTAAAGGACATAATTGCTAACTATTGGAGTTTGATGAAGATGCCTTTCATAAATTTGTTTTTTTCAATTTTGGTTAAAGATACTACTCAACAAAGATTAAATCTTGAATATGTAATGCGTACTGTTTCTTGTAAAAACTCATAATGTATACAATTTCTCGAAAAAAAGAAAAAAAAAAGTTCATCAATAAAGTCTTCATCAAGCTCTAGCAGACGTGTAAACTAAGGTGTGAGAAGAAGATTTTGACAAGTAGATAGTTAGTAGCCATGTCCTCAAAGTTATTGTTATTCAAGTTTGATTAAAGATGTTGTTCAAAGAAGAAAAATTTTTAGGGTTTCAATCATGCACAAGTTTTCTTAAAATATAGCAGTAATATTGCACTTCTAAAAGTGCGGGAAACATATTAGGACTAATTGTGCCTTTATGAAAGCTTGTAGGAAATATGTACTCCTTCCGTTTGAAAATGTTATTCTCGTTTGACTTTTAACGGTCTCCAATATTACACTTTGACCATTAATATCTATATATAAAAATAGATATATTTTATAAAAAATTGATATTTCAAAACTACGTTTCAATAGTAGAGCATGATCTTTATGAAAAGTATACAAACTAGTGTGCATTTTTTAAAGTTTAAGGGAAAACATGCACTATATAAAACGTCGGGGTGAATGATGCATAAAACTCGATATTTAAAATGATTCTCAACTCTTTTTTTTGAATAGTAATTTGAACTATGAAGTGTTGGGGAGCGTTGGTTTTTTAGACTTTGTTAAAATAATCACTTTACTGTCTTTACATGGAAAAATTAAGGGCACTAAAAAACCATCTATATCATACTATGAGATGGATGAAAAGGTGGAGAGGATGCATTATCATAGTATTATTGTGACTACTACTTCTATGAATTTCAAATACAAAGTATCTATTTGGATTTTCCCTTCCAAGTCATACTTTAATCTCGAATTTTCTTAAACTAAACTCACCACTTGATCAACACTTTTTGTTTAATCATGGGTATACACACATTCATCAGATATTGCATGGGTTCTTTGATAATGGAACCCAAGGAGTCATAATTGACAATTTATTTTCTTCATTAAAGGTCTTTTTGAGTTTTGGAGATGTAAAATTATATAGATTTTAAAATCTGAAAAAAATGATATAGGTTTGTAAATCTGAAATGAAGTTGCTAGAAGAGATTTAAAATCACGATTTAATTAGTAATTGGCGAGGGTTACCGACAACGAGGGTGGTTGGCGGTGGTAGTGGTAGAGGATGGTCGGTGATTGAGAGAGATATCAAATCCGCACATTGATATCTCCCAAATTTGGAAGATATTAAAAATCTTCATTTAGATAGTGTTTGACAACTAGCATTTCATTTCAATTCATGCATTTCAATTCCAAAATTTAAAATCTTGAATTTCAAATGACAAGGGGAGGTACATGGATTTCATATTAAGCTTTGTTATGAATGAGAAAAATTTGACTCAAATCCAAATTCAAAATTTTTAAGTTTCCCAAACATGGAATTTGAGCCAAATCCGGATTTGAAATGCAAATCCATGTTTCCAAACATAACATTAGAGAATTTGTGATATTTGAAAATATTGAATTCGAATTCTTTTTTGAAATTGGAAATAGTTGGCGAACAATCATTTGAAATGAGTATTTGCAACTATGAACCTCCCCTTCTACACAAGCGTAGAGACTTCGGACCTCTTTCACTCTAGTCTCAAGCCACTACGTACCCTACGGTTGAATGAGTTCAACATAGTTCAACCAATTTCGGACGTTGGTCGAGTGAATAAATGAGTCGAACTATGTGAAACTAAATTTTATTTGTAAACGTCTGAAATGTTTTCTCAACCACAAGCGCCCCAACCACAGAGAAGCGAGTGAGTCAAAGATTAACTGATTGAAATGGGAAAAAAATAAGAGGAATGCTAAGGGTACACCATTTGTACCTCATTGATCATAACCATTAATTTCTTTTTTCACTTTTAAATTTTTTTTCCTCTCTTGCATTTGTGTGGTGGAGATGGAGAGAGGTACAAGTGGAGTACAATATTTGGTGTATCCCTAACTTTTTTGAAAAAATAAATGGTACCGAGTAACATAGGATTAATTATTTGTATAGCTAATACTATCTTCTTCTAAAAAAAATCTTTTTTGGGGAAAAGTAATACTAGAGCATTTAAGATTTGTGTATTTTGAGTGTTACTTTCTTATTTTACTTTTGTTTTTTAATGTAAAAATAAGATGTAATTGATAAATTAATAATAAATTGATATAATGTGATAAATAGAGTATTCATCGATAGGGTCTCTTCTATGTTTCACTTGTGTACTTGTAAAGTTTTTTTTTTTTTTGATTTTATGCATCATAAATTGTATTTTCTAAAAATAATAAAAATAATTGAGATTGTATAGTTTTCTCAAAATTAGTACCGGGCATCAAAAATTGGGGAATTTATTTAAATAGCACTAAAACATAATGACTTTTCTTAATTAGCATCACATGTGTTTTTTCTCAATATAGCACTTTTTGTCATTATGCATTAGTCATTATTCAAGTAAATATTCACCATCACTAGACATTATGGATATTATTAAGTACTATTTAAAAAATAAAAGAGTTTAAGTACTATTAAAGAAAATGAATTAAGTTTTAATGCTATTTAATGCAAATATTTCTAGAAAATTCTGAAATCAGACCCCGAGTTGGGGCCGGCCCGATTCAACCCCAATTCCACATTAATACCAACCCCAATTCCACATTAATTCCACATTAATACCACATTAATACCAACCGAGAAGGCTCCGCCGGCGGTGAAGGCTCAGCACTTTCGATTTCTGCCACGCCGATCTCAAATCCGATGGATTCCGATACAGACATAATCATCAGAAACATTCTCAGCCGAATTCCGGCGAAATCCCTAATCCGATTCCAGTGCGTGAGCAAACGGTGGAGAACTCTGATCAAGACCCCATCTTTCATCGCCGAACACCTCCGCCGCCAATCCCCCTGTCTCCATTTCCGAGCGCAAAAACCTCGACATCCGAAGCAGCTACCTTTGCCGTTACATTTACTGGATTGCGAATTGCAGGTCCGACGGGTGGAGAAGCAGCCGCCGATCTTCGAGCTTGACTTTGCGAACATCGTGGGATCCTGCAACGGCCTGATCTGCTTGAAAATCGTCAAGGATTATCTTCTGTCCACCCTTATGCTGTGGAATCCAGCGATCCGGGCGCTCCGGATGATTCCCAGCCCTGCAGTTGTTGGTGCTCAAAAGGGTTTGTTTCTCATAGGATTTGGATTCAGTCCCATTGTTAGTGACTACAAGATTGTGATTGTTTGGCTTGTGGATTATCCTTTTCCGGGCATTCATGTGGAAATGTATTCGTTATCCTCAGGCTCATGGAAAGAAGTAGTAGTAGTAGAAGAACACAAGATCTTAGAGCACATTCATCTAAAGAGCGATTGTGTGACTGCAAATGGAGCTATGTTCTGGCATGGGGCGAAGGGCGATGCCGATATGATAGTATCATTTGACCTGGCAACAGAAGTGTTCACGTTAATTCCATTGCCAGTCCCTTCAAACCCTAGTTTGAGTTTCAGGCTCGCGGTTCACGAGGACAAACTCGCTCTGCTTGTTAAACATTGGTTATTGGAAAACTCAAAATCTGTTGAAATGTGGGTGATGGATGAAGGAGGTGAAGGGGGTTCAAATGGTGAGATCGTGTGCAATGTGATTGAATGTGGGAAATCGAAAATCGCTCTCTTCAACGTCGATACTGGTGAATTTAATATGTTAGATGTACACGACTCTTACGAGTGTTTCGATTATGTGGAAAGCCTTGTGCCATTAGGGGGAAAGAAGTTGAATGCAACATTTATGTAGGGTTTGAAGAACTCTTTAGTGCAGTTGAAGGTGATGAGCTAAAATTTACTCTTATCTTTCTTTGATCTAATGAGTATTTGATAGCATTTGAAAAAAACAAATACTTTTGAGTCCATTGACAATGGAACTCAAAGACTCATTTTTGACAATTCATTCTCTTCATTGCTCCCTTCTCAAATTAAGTTGTTTAGTACTTATAGGGTCAAATTTTCCTGACTTTTATATTTTAGTTATTAATGTAATTAAAAAGGAAAAAGAAAATAAAAATAATCCAAAGGTTACAGATTGAAAAAGAAAATAAAAATTGTTGAATAAATTCTTTTTCTTATGTTTGAATAAAGGTTACAGAGGGAAAACGAAAATAAAAATAATTCGAACTCACAATATGTTCAGATTTTACATTGGAAGAAAATAAAAAGGAAAAGCTGGACTCAGTTGGTGACAACGAACGGATGAAAACATGGACGATCTCCTCCAATGATAAAACCACTAACGTGCAAGGTCTATAGCGGCAGAACGGTATACTGGTGAAGGCGCAACGGTGTACGAGAGGTTCTTTCATGTCATCTATAGTAAAACTCTCTTATAAGATATTTGAGTGTGCCCAGTTTTACTTTTTTGTCTCTAAAAAACATTGAAAATCCACTCCCAACATGCTTCACAACTCTACTTAGTCTCCAAATTTATTTTAAAATCAAACACTCCAAAGTGCTTCTATCCAAAGCAAAAGTTGAAAAGCTTCAAAACCAATCACAAATGCCCTCATAATACACTAAGCCAACAGTGCCTAAACAATGAAGTCCCAAACAATGCACACCCCCCACAATTAAATTATACTCCATTCCTTAAAGTGTCAATTACCTATTTTACAAATATAACGAGAAAAAAGTGGTTCTTGGTGATTAAAGTATGGAGGACTGGAGGAGTTGGAAGAACCCTGAAATGATTAAAAATATGTGATGTGTTGAGAACAATATAGTTCAATTTCAACACATCCCCTATAATTATTTAGCCAAAAATACATTTTTCCCTCTGGTCTTAGACAAACCGGTCCCTAATTAAACTACAATGCGATAACTAAAATTTTGGGATGAGGGATTGTTACCATTGGCATCACTACATGCATCTGCATGAAACTAAGCATTACTGGACATTGTTTTCGCCACTATACATTATTCAAATACCACTTAAGAAATAAAAAAGTTTAAGTACTACATCAAAAAATGACATACTCCCTCCGTCTCAGAGTATTTACCCACTTTCACTATAGCGGGACGGAGGTAGTATGTTTTACTAGTGTCACTTTAAACAAAGGAGAGTCACTTTTTCAATTTGTTTAGACCGTTTTATAACCTTCTCAATTGGTAAAATACGTACTCTTCTTTAACAATATACTGCACATAATTTAATTATATATATATATAGGCAAATGATATATTCCGTACGTTATTGCACCAAAACAAAACAATATTGATTTACTAAAACATTACTCCGTATTCCACTGAATTGATATTCAAGACCAGATTCCGAACAATGTTGGAGTTCACAGTGATTTCGATTTTTCAACAATTTTTTTCAACAAAACAAGTAAAAGTCTTAAACAAATTAAATCTTAAAACCCACATAAAGATATAACTCAATCTAGCAACATGGTGAAATTGGGCGGAGGGGAGGCGGAAGTGATCGTCCAAATTGCTTTCCTTGCATTTGGCTCATCGGAAGCCGCCGCGCCGCCGTGAGGAGATCCATCCCAATCAAAAAAGACACAAACGCGTCGGTCGCTCCGTACTCAATTTGTTCGAAGCTCAGCTCTTCGGCGTCCCAATCGCTCAAAGTGACGGCTAACGGCTTCTCCATAGCCGCACCCAAAACTTGCATCGCCATCTTCTTCAACCCTATCTTCAGAAACGCCTCAGAACGGTAAACGCTCGCCGCCATGGGTCGCAGATCCAAAACCCTAGTCACGACAAGACCGTGGTCGCGAAAGAGCTTTTCGGCATCTTCTTCGACGCCAACACCCACGAACGTGATGAAGGGGTCGCGGAGGAAGAGGCGCAGGGCACAAGGCATGAAGTCTCTTTTCAGAATCTGGAAAATCAAGCAGTTTTTCCCAATGCACAACTGGAGTGTGGCGACGGGGTTCGTCTCCCATGGCTTGCAGGGGTGCCACTCGATGTCGAGGCCGACGAGGAGGTTGGAGAGTCCAACGCCTCGGCGGTAGTAGCAGACGGTGGCGGTAATCCAACGATCAACTTCGGAAGCGCATTTAGTGACAGTGACGTTAAGGCTCGAATCATGAAAAATAACATTATAGAGAGTGGCGGCCATTGTAAGTGAGTTAAAAGACACTTGGAAGAATGAAGGATTAAATAATTAAGTAGTTGAATTTAAACTTAGTGAGTACTCGTACTTATATAGGAATCGCAAATGGTCAAGGGAAGCAAAATCATAGTTGAAATAGGAGAAGATAAAATAATAATCATTGCTTGGAGAGCGGAACTGCGCAAGGAAGCATTTTTATATTTTTGTTTCCTAAAGTAGTTTTTTTATCTAATTAATTCCGTTGAATAAATGATAGGAAGAAAACCAATGAAAATTATAATTGGTGCTAACTAAAATAAAATTAGCTAACGAACCAATCCAAACAAAAAATGATTCAAGTTCAATACTGTAAACACTCGTATATATTTCTTACGAATCGAAATTTTAGTGCAGTTAACTAAAATTTATTATATACGGAGTATCTTTTTAGTCCCCATCAGATTAAAAATTTTATTTAAAAGAATTTTTAAAATGAAAAATAATTGAAAGTCAAAAAAGATTTAGAGACGAAGAAAGTATCAAATGTGAAACCATTATGAATAATTAAAAATTTAGAAATCACCCTAAATAGGACTAAAACATAGAGAAAAATATTAAAATAAGACTTTTATATTTTTTTCCCCGAAATAGGACTTCGCACGGTGGTAATGTGGCATTGTACATGTGCACATTACATATACTTTTAAATAATATACATGACCATGTTTGATAATGTAAATGTATTTTAAGTCGAATTCCGGAAATAAAGTCTATCTATTCTTAGTATAAAAAGTTAAAGAGGGGGCTTATTCTTACAACTAGTGTTTTTTTTACAACATTTTTATACAACAATGCAATCAGAGCACCTACGGTGCTGCGTTTGTAAAATTGATTATTCATACCATCATAATTCATAACCTTTCTGTAACCCTTGCATCCTCTTTAATTGTAATACCTATTATTTTAGTCAAATATTTGACCATAAAGTCAAAAAATGAATATTCATGCAATTAGAGGGGATGCGAGAGTACTTTATAGCCCGTCCGGGGCGTAGAGGTTTACCGTGAGTTATGGAGCGGTGAAAGAACTAATTTTAGGGGGATGCTAAGGGTACACCAAAAGTGTACCCCAAATGTACACCACCCTTTTTATTACCACTCATTTTTATTTATTTATTTCTATTTTATTCTACATTCCAAAATATATGGCAATGGAGGGGGTGATGTACATTTGGGAATACTAAAAGTGTACCCCTAGCATTTTTGTTAATTTTATGAATGGAGTACCTTGATTGCATTGTTGAAAGAAATATTTGTAAAAAAAATTCTTATACCAATAAGCCTCCTCAAAGCTAAAACCTGATAAGTATTCCAAGAATGGTGAGTTAGTACCCGCCGGCCCAAATGATGTGCACGGGCCCGGTTCTAACCTGGATTTTACCTTCTAATCACTGATCTTCCTAGCACAGTTCCGGCTAATCCAAGGCTCCCCTCTGGAAGATTTCAATTTCCGATCTCAAATCCCCGATGAAGATAGACGCCGGTACTCAATCCCTTCCGGAGTACGTAATCAGAGACATTCTCAGGCGAATTGACGTGAAATCCCTGATCCTATTCCAATGTGTGAGCAAACAGTGGAAAACCCTCATCAACGCCCCATCTTTCATCGCCGAACACCTCCGCCGTCAATCTCCCTGTCTTCTTTTCCGAGGGGAAACACATCGGAATTTGCAGTTAGGTCTACTCGATCGCGAGATGCAGGCCCGGGAAATGCAAGTGCAGCCTTCGGTTTTTGAACTTGAATCTCCTAAAATCGTGGGTTCCAGTAATGGCTTGCTCTGTTTGCAAATCAAAAAGGAATTGCATCTCTCCACCCTTTTGTTGTGGAATCCAGCCATTCGGGAGCTCCGAATGATACCCAGGGTTGGTGGGTATTGTTCGTGGTCAAGCGTAGGGTTTGGATTCAGTCCCATTATTAATGATTACAAGGTTTTGATGATTCGGAAGACAGATCATTACAATAGGACTCTTCATATGGATGTGTATTCGTTAACCTCAGGATCATGGAAATCAATAGATAATAACATCTTAGAGGGCATTCGTGTAAAGGGCACGAATGTGACTGCAAATGGAGTTATGTTTTGGCATGTGGGGAATGATGATGCCAATATGATACTTTCATTTGACATAGCATTGGAAGTGCTCACGTTAATCCCATTTCCAGTCATTGCAAACCATTATTTCTGTTTTAGGCTTGCGGTTTACGAGAACAAACTCGCTATGCTTGTTGAAAATCATTCTTGGAACCCTGAACCTATTGCTTTGTGGGTGATGGACAAAGGGGATGAAGCATGTTCATATGGTGAGGGATGGAGTTGGGCTAAGAGATGTAACGCCGCCATTCCTTGCCACGTAAATCCCTTGATGATTTGGAAGAGTGAAATCGTGTGCGAAGTGTCTGAAAATGGGAAACGGAGAATTGCTCTCTTCAATGTCACTACTAGTGAGTTTCATATGATTGATATGCATGACTCCGAGTTTATCGGTTTTATGCGTGGCTTCGAGTGTATCGATTATGTGGAAAGTCTTGTGCCAGTAGGGGGAAAGAAGTTGTATGCAACATTTGCTTAGGGCACGAAGAAGTCGTAAGTGGTTGAGACTAATGAACCAAAACTCACTCGTCTTATGCAACCCGATGTAGTGATTCAAACGGTAAGAATCCTTTTCCCCAAAATTTTAGTTATAACATTGTTGTTTAAGGAATAGTTTGTCTAAGATTGGAGGGTAAAGATGAAAGATGTGTTGAAGTTAAATTAGAACTGGATTGTTTTCAACACATCAGCTATCTTTAATTATTTCAAGGGTCATCTAACAAACTCTCTCATATTTTAATCAACAAAAATCATTTTTCCCCTTTATTATGAACAGCCCTATGATATTCCTTATAGAGAAGTATATCTACAATTTTGAATGCAGATGCCTCATTTTTAGTTTTATTTCACCTAGATAATCTTTAGTCTCAGCTTGTTTTTTTTAAATAATACATTTAAGTACTCTTTTAATTGATTCACTGTCTTAATATTTCCAAAAAACAGAGTACTTAACTAGCACTTTTATAAAGGACGAGAACTCATGAGTGTAATTTAGGTCCTGGGTTTGGATGAAGTTTTGGCATTGTTTGCTTAGCTTCTTATGAAAGCTTTTGTGACTGATTTTTAAGATGATTCAATTTTTTCTTTGGATACAAGAAGTTTGAAGTCTCTGGGTGTGTCTGATTTTCAATGTTTTTTAGATTCTATTATTAAAATAATCACTTTCCATGACTCAAACACCATCTGTAATACAGTACGAGATGTGCATTAGAATAGTATTGTTTGTGAGTTTTTATATGAATTTTACAATACAAAATATCTCTATAGATTATATAAATTTCACAATACAAAATATTTCTTACCACTTGGCCAAGACTTTTTGTTTAATCAAAGATACATTCATCAGATGTTGTATGAGTCCCTTTGACAATGGTACCCAAAGAGTCATTATTTAAAATTTATTTTCTTTATTACGGAGTATGATTTTTTGACAATTGAATTCAAGGGTATTTTTGTCCTGTAACAAAAATAAGTGGGGACTCAAAAGTGTATTGATCATGTAACAAAACTAAATGGGTACGTGGGAGAACTATCCAATTTGGATTAAAACCATGATTCATATATAAAAATAGTGTTTACAATATTTTTGTACTAAAATAATATTTATAATGTCAAAGAGTATCAATGCATAATGCCAAAAGATTGTGAAATGCCAACACAAAATGTCAATTCTTGTATTTAAAAGGAAAAATATTTGAGACTTTATTTTGTTATGAATTAAATGTTTTTTTGTCTTGTATATATAAAGAGTCTGCGACCCGTCTCGACACCTCCGTGGTAGAGGCTCCAACACTCCAATTGGACACCTTTTATTGGGTTAAAAATGTGGCCTCTTAGCACCTCCAAGAGTGTCATGACTAGTGTGATTAGTTGAACTTTAGTTGTATACGTAAAGTACAGTAAAAATGTGCAAGATTTAATCTGAACAAATGAATAATTAATCATATTATTGAATAATGACAATCGTTTATTGATGCATGCAAGTTTATGAATTAGTTCTAGCATTGGATATGTTTTCACTCAACTTTCAACTAAGTATGTAGTTCTTGTTGTCTTTAACTGCACGCAAGTATGAATCAAAGATAGGATGAGCAACTTGGTGGTCAGTCATGTCCTGCAAAGTGGATGACCCGAAGCGATTTAAATTTGAATCAATTACTTTATTGACTTTATATTATCTAAATTACAAGAATGTTTTAATGATGTTTTTTTTAAATGCTTCTGCTACGTTTGGTTTGATTATTCCAATCAACTTATGTTTTTAAATTAATAAGAATGGATGTTTATTTAAATGTTTTAAAAATATTGTGAAGTAAATGACAATTTGGTAGCAAGCTGATTTGTTAACTCATTGGTTTGCACTATGCGGATTGAGGTGTTACAATGTAAATATATAGATTAACGATCAAATTTGGGAGTAACAGTGCATATTAGTAAATTTTGGAGCATTTACGTAAAATGATAAATTTTTTAGAGTATTTTTTGTGAATTTTCCATAAATAAAACTATAAATTTATTTTTGTCCGATTGTTCAAAGTAATACTACCTCCGTCCCAGGGTATTTGTCCACTTTCATTTTTACACATCATCCAATACATTTTTTTAATCCATTTTATCTTGTAATTTATATATTAAAAAATTATAGAAGTTATATATTAATAATCTATATGTTAAGACAAATCAAACAAGATCACTATATTTAGGCTTACACATTGAGAGAATTTGATGAGTCAAAGTACTTAGATAAACAGTTCCAAAAGTCAAAACTGGACGAATACTCCGGGACGGAGGGAGTAACACTTTTAATCCCAACGATCAAATAGATGGAATGAACTCTCAATAAATATCCTTAAATAATGTAGGACATGAAAGTTTTTTAATAGAGAATTGAGGAGTAATTTTTGCTTAATTTTATTGTGATTAACTTGTGGATAAAGTGATTTATAGAAAAGTTGAAAGTAAAAGCACCTCAAACCTGCTTTTCCGAAATGGTGTTCTATGTACAAAATAGTGTTGGTGAAAAGAAGAAACTGACATAGCAAATAAAGTAAAATCACTTACACTAAGAGCAGTGGCAACGGCGTGGAATTTTGTCCGCCAAGCTGCTAGATCAGATCTGCCTTGCACCAACTCAGCAATTGCCTCGCGTTCCTTGTGCGTTCTCCCACGGTAAGTGAGGCAGCCTCAAGGCTGCCATGCTCTATTTTTTATTTTTTAAATTATGTTAAAAATTTAAAAAATGACTGTGCAGTTTTTAATTGGTTAAATTATATCACATCAGCGTTAATGCTCTAAAAGGATTGCACTGCCTTTTTTGTCTCCTGGAACGATACGGAGTGCGTTTGATGTCTCTTTTAAATAAAAGGTTCTCTTTCGTCTGGAAGATCTCAATTTCAGATCTGAAATCCCCTCTCCACCGTAAAGCTCGTGACAATGGACGCCGCCGGTTCACAATCCCTTCCAGAAGACATAATCAGAAACATTCTCAGTCGAATTCCGGCGAGATCCCTGCTCCGATTCCAATGCGTGAGCAAACAGTGGAAGAGTCTCATCAAAACCCCATCTTTCATCGCAGAACACCTCCGCCAACAGTCCCCCTGTCTTCTTTTCCCAAGGGGAGGAGAGTGTCTGCCTTTCGGGTTGCGTCTGCTCGATTGCGAGATGCAGGTCAGACCGGTGCAGGAGCCATCTTCGGATTCCGGCAGCACCATCGTCCGGCGTGCCAGCATCGTGGGTTCCATCAATGGCTTGCTCTGTGCGAGAATCGTAGATTCGACGCGATCTGTTTCTTTCTTCTTGTGGAATCCAGCAATTCAGGAGCTCCGGATGACTCCCGCAGTCACTGATTCTGATAAGGGTCACTCTGATGTAGGGTTTGGATTCAGTCCCATTATTAATGATTACAAGATTGTGATTTTTTGGTCTTCTGGTTCTCCTGTGGAAGTGTATTCTATGATCTCAGGCACATGGAAAGTAGTCGAACCTGAGGTTTCAAAGGGCATTCGTGTTTGTTCGGAGGTCGTAAGTCCAAGTGTGACTGCAAATGGGGCAATTTTTTGGCTTGGGAAGAAGGATGATTTGCGTGCGATAGTTTCATTTGACATAGCATCGGAACTGTTCACATTCATTCCATTGCCCGCCGCTGCAATCCCCCTTTGGTGTTCTAAGCTTGTGATTTACGAGAACAAACTCGCTCTGTTTATTAAACGTTTGTTATCGGACAACTCAAAATCTGAATCGATTGATTTCTGGGTGATGGACGAGAGATGGAGTTGGACCAAGAAATTTAACACTGTCTTTCCTGGCAACGCATATCCCCTCAGGATTTGGAAGAACGGAATCATCTGCGCGGTGTATGAACGTGTTGGTGAACTATCAGCACGGGAGGAAAAGGAACCCAGAATTACTCTCTTCAATGTCACTACTGGTGAACTTGGTACGGTTGTTATACATGACTCTTACAAATGTTTCGATTATGTGGAAAGCCTGGTGCCAATCGGGGGAAATAAGTTGTGTGCAATATTTATGTAGGGTGGATTTTCAATGTTTTTTAGGGAGGGAGAAGTGAAGTTGAGAAGCTCATATATGGTTTTAGATTGTGTTGTTAAAATAATCCCTTTTCATTAAAATATATTGTTAAAATAATCCCTTTTCATCGAAATATATACTTTTCCCATCATATATATATGATGTGATTATAATTGATTTATAATTTATTTATATGATATTATTAAAATTGATTGAACGAGGACGACTAAGTACGTTTTCTTACTCTATATTGTGTGGTTTGTATGATAATAATCTTTAGAAACGTTATACGAATTGAAAGGTTTGAAATATGATCGAATTATACCATTTTTGTAGCTATTCGACGCCAGACCTAGGTACCGCCTCATGTTACCCTGCTATCGTCGGAGAGCATCGCAAAGACTCGTCTCTGTCGGTACCTGCACCCAGAAGGTAGGGATACCGGACAGGCGATACCAAGGTATCAAACCGATGGTACCAAGGTATTGTATCACACCCAGTTACCGCCACAACCAAGTTCCTTTGTCGGTAGAGGCATTCGGACGGTCGGAGGTACCGGACCGCCGGTACTTAGGTACTGCCCGGGGGTACCAGGGTACCGTGGCAGGTAGAGTGTCCATCCCTAGCCGCCTGTTTCTTCGTTTGTTGTTCTAATTTGAATGCTGAATTTATTCCATGGTCCTGTGTGTTGCATGACGGCAAGTGAACGGTGTTTACACTTGACACTAGGTCACTAATTGTTAAATATGAATGCTTATCTAATCTGTTGTGATCTCGTACGAATTTGGAAATATGAAATTGGGAACTTGAATACGGATAGACTACATAGATAAAATATAGACTGAGAAAAAGAATAAGGATACAGTTAGGAATAACTAGTCATGTGATGAGCCGACGTGCATGCATGATCAGCTCGGTAGAGCGTGCGCATGGAGGTCGTAGATCTGCTCATGGATGTGAGTAGGTAGTCCCACCCAACTGACGTTGGATGACGTTGTGTCAAGCATGTTCTTCTATGGATGTGGTTCAATCAAGACTCTAGAATAAAAAATTGGTCTTAGCCTAAGATAGGTTATGAGCTTAGAAATAAGAAAGTTGGTTTTGAGATAAATTTGGTAATCCTACTAACTATGTTTGATTTATGAATTGTCTGATATTAATGATATTATTGTTGTTGCACTTGTGTGAATGATATTGTATGAAGTTATGGGCTAGTGAGTTCGTCTATGTGCGTAGTCGAAACGTTAGATATTTCTCACTTAGCTTCAATGCTAAGCGTGTAGTCCTTCTTCCTATTTGCTACACGTAGGTAACATGAACAATGAATGAGAAAGCAATTGTGGAGAGCAGTGAGGGCGAAGAGATGGATGGATGTTAGCTGGAGGAATTTAACTATTTAATAATGTATTTGAATTAATTATGTTTCTAAAGGCAAGAACCCAAGTTGTATTTGAATTAAGTACTTTAAAGCTTCCGTCACCGTTTTTGTAAACTCTGACGATTTCAGAAAGTAATATAAGTTAACCAAAAATAATAGTATCAATTTCCTTCTTAATAAATACTCCCTCCGTCCCGGAGTATTCGTCCAGTTTTGACTTTTGGAACTGTTCATCTAAGCACTTGGACTCATCAAATTCTCTCAATGTGTAAGCCTAAATATAGTCATGTGTGATCTTGTTTGATTTGTCTTAACATATAGATTATTAATATATATACTCCCTCCGTCCCACTGTCTTTGTCCATTTTTCCTTTTCGGAACGTCTCATTGTTTTTGTCCACTATTATTAGAAACTAACAAACACCTATTATTTCTTTGGCTAATGAGGTCTGGGGAATATTTTCCCATTCAAGTTAACATGGCTCTGTTGCTTCTCAATAATAAAAAATAACTCTTATGTATCCTCATTGTTTTGTCTCAGAATGTATAGCCATTAGACTCTGTAACACATGAATCTGGATGCACATATATAGTTGAATTGACTTAGATTCTACACCATTATGTACCTAGGTACATCAAAGTCAGACAATATTCGCTATTGAAGTCCCTAAATGATGTATACTTCTAATTAGAATAAAACACATACACTTTATATTTAGCTTCTTGGAGTACCTGCATGAATTGTAATACTATCCATTATTATTGTTAGGGCCATATATCAAAGAATGACAGAAAATGTTCTACCCCATCCATGTTAAAAAAACAGAATATGTAAAAATCATTAAAATAATACAACTACTAATAGAAATGCCTTATAAAATTTACTATTAATAATAAAGGGTCATTTACTTACATCTTAAAAGTCGGAGCCAACACTACTCAAAATCTCTATAATATTTTCCAACATTGATAAAATTCTGATTGTGTCCAACTCATGCAATTGGGTCAGGGGAGAAATAACAGTAGCTCATATCATCATCATATGTAATAAAGGTTAGCTAAAATGAAATAATAGTAGCCTAAGTATATATACCATAATGTTATAAAATGAAAGAAAAACTACTTAAAGATTATGAGAATAGATATACTCCCTCCGTCCCCCTAAGATGTTTTCATTTTGACTTTTAGTGATTTTTAAGGGGAGTTAAAAAAAGGTGAAAGTTTACCAAAATACCCTTAATGAAAATGGGTGGAGTGTATTAAATGAGGTGAGTGAGGTGTAATAAATAAAGTAAGTGGGGGTAGTTGTGGTATTTTACTTGCTAAAAAATGAAATGAGAAGATCTATTGTGGACAAAGAAAAAGGGCTATTGAGAAGATCTACGGGGGACGGAGAGAGTAATATATTTCTGATTTGTTCTCTCTATTAACTCTTCACTCTTCTTCTTATTCTTAATGGTTATTATAATGCAGAGATTAGGCCTCTATTTATAGTGGAGAGGCTTGGTATGAATACAAATACAAGTGGGAAGTACTGTACATAATTGATACTCATCAATGGTTGTCTTAATCTACTATTCTAGAAATTAGACCTGATTAATTGAATAAATGAACAATCATTAATTTCATAACACTCCCCCTTGAATGTTCATTTTTCAATTAATGATGGTACTTCGTGAAATGGGTATAGTTTAGGAACCCATTCTAATTTTATGTACTGCCTCGTTAAAAACCTTGTCAGGAAAAACCCAGTGGGATAAAAACCCGATCAAGGGAAAAAGAGTACAGTTCATAAAATTCTCCCCCTCAGCTTAGCATAACTGACGGAGGCGACGCATGCCAATCTTGTGTATGAGTTCTTCAAATTTCTTTGGGGGCAATGCTTTTGTAAATAAATCAGCAAGGTTCTCACTGGACTTGATTTGCTTGATGTCAACCTTTCCATCTTTCTCGAGATCATGTGTTGAGAAGAACTTTGGTGATATATGCTTTGTTCGGTCTCCTTTGATGTAACCTCCTTTCACTTGAGCAATGCATGCAGTATTGTCTTCATATATAGGAGTCGGATGACTAGTAATTGTTTCTATACC